ATTTTCATAAAGAATATCTACAAATTGTTGAAATGATATCTTCTCCCCAATGCAAAATGAACCATCCGGACGGTTTATAAAATCTGAAAATGAATCTAAAACCTCTTTGGGTTAATTCCAATACACATTAACAAAGTATGGTAGTCCGGCAGACGCCATTTATACCTGTTAAAAATAAAATCACGAATTCTTTTATCAAACCCTAATACTCATAATACATCAATAACATATAATTCACTTTCAACCAAAAAAACCATAAAAAAAAATTATTCTCAATCAAATAATCCCCTTATCGAACAATAACATATAAATCATCTATAATTTCAATAAATTGAAACCCTAATTTCAAAAAACCCTAACCACAACAACAACCAAACAATTACACAATTGACAATTAACACATAATATTTCAATATCCAATTCAACATACACACATAATCATTAATCAATTAGCAATTTCAAGTTTCAAACACCAACACATTCAAACATATTATAACAATCATCAATCTCCAAATAACTCCAAACAAATATAAAAAGTTAAGATAAACCAATATACCTCGTGCAAATGAATTAACCGGAAATAAGACTCGTGTTGCTGTTGTCGGTTCACGTTATAGTGAAGATTGGATCGAGTTTTTTTTTTTCTCAAGTATTTTCGCTCCTCTTTCTCAGCTCTCTCAGCTCTCTCAGCTCTCTGCTCTCTGTTGCTCGCGAATGGAGAAGAAGATTTTTTTTTTAATATGTTTTACAAAAAACGTATTTAAGGAATACGTTTTCTGTGCATTTAAATGTAAAACGTATTCCTTAAATACGTTTTGATTAAATGTATTTTTTTAAAAAAAATAATTTTTGTTAAGACGCATTTTATAAATACGTTTTCTGAAAACGTATTTCTTAAATACGGTTTTATTTTTATTTTTTTTACTTAACGAAAATTATTTTGAAAATTGTTTACGATTTTTTTTAATTAAAATTATTTAATGAAAACGTATTCAAGGAATACGTTTTTTTAATTATTTTTTTTTTGAAAAACGTATTCAAGGAATACGTGTGTTTCATGCTTGTCCACTCCCTTTTTTTTTTTTTTTCCACTTAATTTCTATATTTTTTTTTTTATTTGTCCACTTAATTTCTATATTTTTTTTTAAATAAATTACCCCAAAGATATATATGAAGGGTTATATTAATATTTAAACACAACTTTTTACTTGAGTCAGATTAGACGCGTCGCTTTCTATCAATGCTTACTTATACAATAAAATGTTAAACTTATCAATCACTGTATATTAAATTAAAACGTGTTGACCTTAGGTGGCAGATTCTCACTGTATATTAAATCAAAACATGTTGACCTTAGGTGGCAAATTCTTACGCTTCGGATGCTGACATGACGAAAATCTATACTTCCTGATGTTGTTTTTATATTATTTTTGTTCTAGAGTTAGATTTATAACTTTACACATATATTCATTAACTCAATAGTCAATACACATGTTGTACATGGGTATTAATACAATTATTTATGTTATTTAATAATGTATGTTTCTTGCATACGAAAATATGCATGTTTTTTAAAAACGCCTAGATCTCTAGAGGCGGCCTAATATTGGGTGATGTTGCATAGCCACTCTCCATTACAACATGGTTTACAATTGCATTTTTTAATGCCTCCATTACACGTGTACACCATGTTGTAATGAAGGGCGGCAAAGTAGCAAAATCTATTAGGTAAATTAACAACTATATTTCCTTAAGAGATATATGTATACTTTCAAACTGGAATGCCTTACTCTAAATTGCGCTAGGTTGGGCTTAATAAGAGGGATATCAAGCGGATTAATACAAATTCAATGTATTTAAGACTATGTTTGGTAAAACTAGCTGATAAACTGATAAGTTATCTTATAGCTTATCAGTAATTTTTGAGCTTATAGCTTATGACTTATAGCTGAAAAATTAGTTTATATGATAAAAGTGTTTGGTAAAATTAGCTGATAAGCTAGCTGGAATAAAAATTTAACTACCTTATTCGAAAAACTACTAAAAAAGATTATCAAATAAGCTCGAGTTTTTTAAAAAGGCCCGTCCTACCAAACGTGACTTATTTAAATACAAGGAACTTATAAGTTAGTCAAATAAGCTATAAGCTAATTATTTGTCTATCAGACATAGCCTAAATTAGTTGGTTAAGCCCTGAAAATAACCTATCACACGAGATGTTTAGCTCATATCATACCTTATTGATGGAATACTATATATATCATCCTTTTATACATACATAAATGATCGAATTACGTAATAACCCTTGAAGATCACGGCCTCGTCGATCGCTTAGAGGGAAGACTCTCTGAAGACTTTGAAACTCATCTTCAACATTCGGGTAGTGCGTGGCGTCGTCTAGGTTTTTTTTTTTCTTTTATTAAACGGCAGACTTTCATAAATAAAACACATAATTACAAATAAATAACAACTGGTAACATCCAGAATTTTTGGGAGAACAACCCACATGGCAGTCCATAAATATGTTATTTTATAGTATATGTATACACCTAAAATAATGTCTTGTAATTCTAACTCATTGATAATTGGAGGTAACTGCAACAGTAATCCAACGGGAAATAGTAATACTACAGTTTCGGTACAGAATCATTCTGTTAGAGTTAGTAACCGTTGAATTATCATGTAATCGTCGAGAATAGTTGGCTTAACGATTACAAACTCCGACGAGATGGTTTCGTAACGGAACAGTAGCATCTCCCCAAAGTTTCACGTTAGTTGATTTTTTTTAATGTAAACACCATAACGTGGAAGGGCGAATTTTTTACGGCAAAAAAAAAAAAGTAAAGTGGTGGACAAAAAAAAGAAGAAAAAAGAGATGGAAAGGAATCAAAAGCCCGTATTCCTTGAATACGACTTTTGAAAAAGTTATTTGGAAAACGTATTCCGTAAATATGTTTTCCTTTGTAAAAAAAAAAATGTGAAAAACGTATTCAATGAATACGTTTTTTTTTATAAATTATATAGAAAATGTATTTTGTAAATACGTGCTTTTTATGTTGGTCCACTCCCCCTCCTCCCTTTTTTTCTGGTTGTCCACTTATTATTTTTTTATTAATAAACATATAAATTGCTCGTGGAAGGGCAAACATTTCCGCAACTATTCCTAGATAAAATTAATTGAATTGCGAAAATTAGATGATAAGCTAAAAAGCCTAACCGTAGGAATGATGTGCGATGTAGGCCATATATTTGGGAACTGATAATTCAAATAACTCCATGTAATTTTAGCTACCATTTGATCTTCCTCTAAATTATTTTACTGTTTAAAAAGATTCCCCTTTACTTTCCCCACTTCACCTTCTCCACCATCATGACAATCAGGAAAACAAAAAAA